TGAATTCAACTATTATCTTTTATATTTTAAAATATTAAATTTTTGATTAATTGTCTTATTTGCATTTATGATGTTTGTTATCTTAGAAATATAAGTATATTTAGTAAGATTATATATAACTTAAGATTTTTTGTGCTTAGAAAGAAAACAAAATAAAAACTAAAGTTTCTGATTCTAAATTACATACATAAGTAACTAATGAATTTTTAGAAGATTTTGAACACATATCAATATTTACGATAGTGAAAATATTTTATAATTTCTAAATAAATTTATGCTTTAGATTGTTTGGATGGTAAACTGAAATTTATTTTAAATAATTTTAAAAATAAGGAATCTGATTTGCTTAAGTATTTGACTATGGTTATATTAAGTTTCACAAACATAAAAACAAAAAAATAAAAATCAAAAGATTATTAAGAAAACAAATAATTTTAACTATTAAAATATAATACATCTACCTCGTTAAATTATAAAATGTTATGGTTTTAAAATAATTGTAGTTATTTTCTGTTTTTATATTTGTGAAACTTAATATAACCATAATCAAAATACTTAAGTAAATCAGAATCCTTATTCTTAGAACAGATAATTTTAACTATTAAAATATAATATATATACCTCGTTAAATTATATAGTGTTATGATATTTTAAAATAATTGTAGTTACTTGATCAAAAGGTGTTTATCATTAAATTTATTTTTAGTTTTATTTTTTGTATCTCTTAAAATAGTTAGTAAAAAGTGATTGTTTTTGAGAAATTATACTATATAAGTAGAATTTATATTTTTACTGTAATTGTAAGATATTATAGTCAAATAAATATACTAAAAAAATAATTTCAATAATACTAATTATAAATAAGTGTCATTTAAACATATATCAGTTTATGTTAGTTGATTATTTTATGTAATCATCTAACAAAATAGATAGATATATACAAAAATAATTATTTTGAAAATATATATATTTTATTGTTTAAAATTATTTTTTTAAGGAAAAAATATTTCTTTTTCTAATAGCAATATTTTTTTGTGTGAATTTTTTTTATGAAATCTCATTATATATAGATATTGTTTTTTATCTAAGAAGATATATATATAAAGTAATTTATTACTTCAAAGGTATATTTTATGTTACTTAAATTAATTATTACTATTTTGTGAACTTTCCTTTTTTTTATTAAACCATATTATATATACTTATATTTTCGTTTTTAAATAGTTTTGTACATTTTATAAATGTTTCCTTTTTATTTTATATTGTTATTTGGAAATTTTTAAAAAGGAAATAATATTTAATTGTATTATTAATTCATTAGGGGTATCATAGTAATCAACCAGCGTAAGAATTAACGTGAGCGCGACACCTAAGAAAGTGACTTCTCAAATAATATTATAGAGATTTATTTTATATTGTTATTTGGAAATTTTTAAAAAGGAAATAATATTTAATTGTATTATTAATTCATTAGGGGTATCATAGTAATCAACCAGCGTAAGAATTAACGTGAGCGCGACACCTAAGAAAGTGACTTCTCAAATAATATTATAGAGATTATTTAAAATGTATATAGTAAAATAGATGCAAAATGAATAAAAAGCTAATATTACAAATCTAAGAAATTTTTAGGATAAAAAGATAATTCCTTAGACATTGACAATCTCTTCAAAAATAAAATTTCCATGTTTATATGTTTTTCCAAAATCTTTGACAAACTTTCAACAATGATTCTCTCCATTCCCTAATTTACTTGTGATTGTGTTTTTCTTATGATGTTATTATGACTGATTTTTGTTATTGTCCACAATTTCTTATATAGAACACCAATGTTTGACAGCTAAACTAGGCATGGGTATTCGGGTTCTCGGATCAGGTTTGGGTTGGACCGGGTCTTTCGAATCTTAGATATTTAGATTTAATAGGGTAATTAGAATTTATTAATTTGGATTCGGTTTCGTTTTTGTCGGGTACAGTTCGATTCGGGTCTTAGATAGTTGGATCCAATAAGGTAATTAGAAATTTTCAATTCGATTTTGGTTCGGTTTTAGGTCGGATTCGGTTCAGGTCCTCTCCGGTCCAGCCAAAAAATACCCAAAAATACAAAAAAAAAATACTAATAAATATTTAAATACCCCAAAAATATATGAACTCCTATCCAAAATCTGATCCAAGGACATAAAAATATCCAAAATGTATCAGTTTATCCAAATTATATTTTTGAAAATTTAAAACTTTACTTGAAATTCAAAACCATACCCAAGAACCCAAATCCAAAACTTAAAATAACTCATAATACCAAAAATATACTAAAACACATATATATATACCTAATATATACTAGAAATTTTAAGGTACTTCATCGGGTCTCAGGTTTGGATCGAGTCAGGTCTAAAACCTGCGGTTCTTCGCAACAAGAGCCAATAGGGTAAAATGACAACAAGAACCATAGAATAAAATGATTGGTTTGGTCTCTACCCAAACTTTCATGTCGATTTTGGATCGGGTCCTCAGAACCGGGTAAAATGCTCAAGTCTAAACTAAACTTTACATTTCTTTCTTTGTTTGTGAGCACCTACGTACATTTCTTTATTACCAGAGATCCAAGTTAATGAGATTAGATTGTAGCCGTAAGGTACTAGCATTACGAAGATTCATCAATGAGATTAAAAAAATTGATTACTTCAGTGAGAATATCAGAGTGCAGAATGGCTCCTTACTGTTCCTTACCCAATAAGACACGATCCATCCATTTTCAAATGTGATAAACATAATAAAAACCAATAGTTCCCTTGTTAAAGACGGAACAAAAAATTAACACGAGCATAGCAAAAAAATCGGAACAAAAAACGGGAGAGGTAGCTGCTTATTACAAGTTGTGGCAAAATTACTAAAACTGGCATTTAGACATTGGCATATAGACATATATATCATTGGAAACTAAATCCTAAAGTGTGGAGTAAACCCAGTCACCTTCCTGGAAAGTAGTGGGAACATGAAAGCGATGGAATGTGCCGTGTGCGAGACTGTAAATCCCAATGCCGTGGCTTGCAAAGTAGATGAAATTAGGCTTCAGACCTGAGCACGAGCTAGCCGGGATGCAGAAAGCCACGCCTTTTGAGAGGAATATGCACATGTCTCCGATGTCCTCTGTGTAAGTCATGACTGTGCCCTGGGCTGTCTTCTCCTCCTCCTCTCTAAAGACCAGGAACCCACATGTTCTGTTGAGGTGATTTGTAAACCTGCGCACAAAGAAAGATCTCAGCCATTGCCTTCTAAAAGAGAGAAAGAGACTGTATATATATAGACAATACCATTGGACAAAAAACCGTTGGCCAATGGAGGCTGACTCCACCAGATGACTCATCTCCAAGTGGCCACCAATCATGCTCCGATCCACTTGGGTGCAGCTATCACACAAATCCCCAACCTCCCAACTCAAGTTGGGAAGGCAATCTAGAAACAGCAGCTGATGTAACTGAGGCTCAAGGTGAAGATACCAGGAGTACAACAGTTCGCCACAAGGAGATGGTAGGTAGAATCTCTGGTCTTTCTTAGAAAACATGAGATTCTTGTACTCCAAAGGTACAGAGCAAACCTTGGTCTCAGTCCAATTCCATCTATCTTTTTACACTAATCTTCTATTTTCTTCTAAAAGAAAAGTAACATATTTATGGAATTAACGTTTGCTTGTTTAGAATTTATAGCACTGAAAATCTTTGATATTATATAGATTCTCATCAATGACCATAGTGTTACATTTTCATTCTTCCCTCAGTTTACTCATAATATTTTATCATTTTGTGTTCGAATATATTTTAGAGACAATTGGTGTAATGTACCTAACGAAGATCCAAATTTGTCGAATGTCCATGGATGTGGATAATCCAAAAAGGAGTAACCTTTTGACACTGTGCGGACGAAAATGCCCTCTTACTTTATCGAAAACATGTAACTCTAGATTTAGCGGATACACATTATGTTAACTGAACACTAAGAGATATTTATCAATTTTAACATGATATAAAAATTATTAGCAAATTGATAAAATTTTAACATGCTACAATTTTTGTTATCGGGTTACGTCTATTTATCAATGTGTTAAATAAATTGCTAACAAACAGGTTAGCATGTTAACAATACTATTATCATAAAAATATATATAGTAACCGCTAATCAATTATCTATCAAATAGCCGTAATCCTATTTGTAACAGCTAACACTCTATGTATCGGTTACAAATTTATTAAAATATAATAATAACGGGTAAATAGTTAAATAGCTGCTAACTTACATATTATCCAAATAAAAGAATGTATATTTCAAGATTTGAAATTCGAAATAATAGAATTAGTGTGAGATAATAACATTAGCAATATGGGTGTCAAAAGAATCAGAGTAGAAAATAAAGATTTATGATGAAAAAATGAAAGCATAAATATGTCATGTGTGAGAGATAAAGAGATTAGAAGATAGAGAAGAGAAGAGAGAGAGAATGAGATAGGGGTATAATGGTCAAACAAAATAGTTTTTATGTTGGAAGGTTAGATGGCAAATATGAGGTGTATTTAGGGACAATCCCACCAATTTCTGTATATTTTATCAATTTTCATTCTTTTTCTATTACTCATAAACTGTCAAACTTCTTAAATTCTCACCTTCCCTTTTCTCCTATTCCATCCTTTTCCTTTTACACTAATCTTCATCTTTTTTTTTCTTACTAAAAAATACTACATTGTTTCATATTATAAGTAGTTTAAGAAAAATTTGTTTGTTGCAAACTATAAATAGTTTTTCATATTCTTAGATAATTTTTTACTTTTAATGGGTATATAGTGTGTGACCAGTCAAAAGGGAGGAAATGGGAAACTTGGAGGGCAAGGCGGTTCGTTCTTCCATATTCATACACAGGCAATAAAGAAACATAAAACACTCTTTGCCGTAGAGTTAGGGTTTTGTTTGTTGTATCCCCTCCTCTCGAGCTAATTAAAAACACCATCATGTCTCTAATGCTTTACCGAAGCCTCTTAAAGCGTTCGCTGCGGATAGATGCGCTTGTAAGCTACTTAACTTTTTATGTTGATTTTTTTCTTTTCCATAACTTTTATGTTTGAATGTTCTGTGATTCCTCTGTAGAGACAACGATTCTCCTTTTCGTCTGCGTCGTACACGCCTCCCTACCTCATATGCGGCGAATCTAAGGATTCTGGAACTCTCGTCTTCACTAATCTTGGTAACTCTGAGGTCGTGACTTCAAAAAAGAGAGTGCCTTCTGAGTTGCTTGAAGCATCAGGAACAATTGGAGCAGCCCATGGATGGGTGGCTACATTGAAGGACGGTCTCTTGTCTCTCCACGACGACCTCAATCCAAATGCATCCGACTCAAACCCCAAACGGATTTTACTACCACCTCTTGTAACTCTGCCTGATTGCCAGACTGAAGTGGTTACTAACGTGGCAATGTCCTCTTCTTCTCCTGAGGATGACGACTTTGTTGTGGCGGTGAAGTTCTCAGGACCTCAACTTAGCCTATGTAGGCCAGCTCATGGCCCCAGCTGGACCAACATAAGAGTTACAGACCACAGTTTTTTCACTTCTCGTGTCATCTTTTCGAAAAGAGATCAGATGTTCACCTTGCTCGCTTCTGGAGGCCACCACACAGGATCTTGGGATCTTGACAAGCACAAGGACAACCCCAAGTTGCAGAAGTTGAATTTTCAAAACCTTCCCTCATTCACGAAAACTGTAGCTGACCTTATTGATTCATCTTACAGCACTGAACACTTGGTAGAGTCATCAGCTGGCATAACTTACCTGGTCAAGTGGTACGTGCATAGCACTGCTTCTGATGATGATGATGATGATGATGATGATGCAAGGGATGTGAAAACGAAAGGTTTGGTTGTGTTCAGGCTAGACCAAGAAGGAAATGCTTTTTACACCAATGACATTGGAGATGTCAACATTTTCATATCAAAGAATGAGCCTTTCTGTCTCTCCGCTAGCTCCTACCATGATCTTGAACCTAACACTGTATTTTTAGTTGATTCTGATGAGTGTGGTTTTATCAATCTCTCAGAATCTGCCAACACCTCAAACGTCTCAGAAAGTCTCTCCTTCAAGGCACCTTACCTCATTCCTCCTCAAAGACTAGATCATAGTTTGCAGTTGGGTAACTAACTTCTCTTTTCACCTAAAGTTATGGGTTCTCTTCCTTTCAGCTAAACTATGCATGGTTTTGTTTGATGTTATCTTCTCTACTTTATTCCTCTACTAGTCACTTTAAGGTTTGATAGTATGCTATGAAATTTCCATTGTTATTCCAAAAAGTCCACTGAATTTATATTGCTTACGTGCATGCACCAAAGAGGAAATGAGTTAAATTTCTGGATGCATGTGCTGATTCCATGTTCTTGTATGACACTGGTCAAAAACTCAGAGAAGAAAAAGACAGAGCTTTCTGAAATCATTATCCCAAAGACCGAAAATGGGTCTCTTAATATTTTTGCTTCGAGTCTCCCCACATACTGTTTGTAGAGAGTTCTCCAATAACCAAAACTCATTCGATATTTATGTCATATTAGATTGGGTTTCGGTTTAGTTTAGTTTTTGGATTCAATTTTTTTGCCCGCCTCTCTTTTGAAGAGAAGAGATAACTAAGACTGAAGTCAGTAATTTGTATTAGATTTTATTATACCAGTTTGGTTTAAGTCCAAACGATAAAAGTTTTGGTTGATGAAATTATTATTTTTGGTTTGGAATTCAGTGCTACAGTTTCATTGTTTTTAACAAAAAGCCCAAAAACATTCTTCTTGCTACCGAGAGAAGAAAGTAATACAGACGTTAATGAAAAGCTTATGTTCAGCAAAATTTTTGTAGGATTGAAAGAAAAATTTTGCAACTCTACTTCTCAACTATCCATGTCGCTTTATTACCTTACATTTCGGTTACATATGTTATGGACACATATATCATGTAATGTGATTACTGATTCATTATAAATTATGTGGTAGCCTTGAAAATTTTGCTTTGATAATTATTTCTAGATCTTATTCGTCGTCCATCGTATCTACATTTTCAATACATTTCCAAGTTCTCTGAAATAATTTTGTTCCCCAGAATTCTTAGTAGCTGAAATTGATTTTATTAAACTGGTTTGGTTTAAGTCCAATTGAATCAAACCGGTCTAATTGTGGGTTCAATTAATTACATTTTGGTTTGGACATTTTTGGCAAGTTCAATTTGGTTTTGATTTATTGGTTTAATGAACCCGGTTTACGTGGTTCTGTTGATGGATCTAAAACATGTATGAGTTTTTGACAAAAAAAAAAATGTATGAGTTCTTTGCACTTTTTGTAAGAAGGAATCTATACTATTATTTGCGAAGTGATTTTTCGCAACGGAGCTCTCACGTTAAAAGTTAGAGTGGTTAATATCTATTTTACCCTTAATGAAATTTTTATATATAACTAATTTTATAATTAAAAACTTCAATCTATAGTTAAACATAAATAAAAAACGAATTTTAGATTCATCTTTATCAAAAACTATTTTATATTGGTTTATAAAGTCTTTATTATAGTGGTTAATATCTATTTTACCCTTAATGAAATTTTTATATATAACTAATTTTATAATTAAAAACTTCAATCTATAGTTAAACATAAATAAAAAACGAATTTTAGATTCATCTTTATCAAAAACTATTTTATATTGGTTTATAAAGTCTTTATTATCTTTGAAAAATAATTATATTTGTTAATATATAATTAATTATAAATTAAAAACAAATTTCATTTATTTGATAATTATCCTTATTTAAAAAAAATCTTATGTTTATCAACCTTGAAAATTAATTATATTTGTTAATATATGATTAATTCTAAATTAAAAACAAATTTCATGAATTTGATAATTATCCTTATCTAACTTTTTTATATTGTGTTATAAAGTCTTTATTAACCTTGAAAAATAATTATATTTTTTAATATATATTTAATTATAAAAAAATCAATTCGCAAAGAATTTATGTATAGGTAATTTATATTGTGTTTTCCAAAACATTACTAAAGATAATTTTATTATACATCTTTTTGTTATGACTAAAAACGTATTAATTTATTACTAGATATTTTAAATTTATGAGCATTTTCATATTTAATTTGTGTAATGAAATTATTTATATGATGATAGAAATTTTATATATAGAAAGAATTTGTTTAGATTATTATTAAATATTTTGAATGTATGAACAATTATTTATTATAATTTATTTAAATTGATTATATATTTATTTATAGATATTAGCAAAACTATTAAGCCCGCAGGTGCGGGTAAAACACCTAGTTACAATGAGAAGGTGTGAAGAAACATTCAAGATCGACTTGTGATGACACTCTACACGTGATAGAAAAGAGGTTCCTCCAACAACCAAACAAATAGGTATTTATCTTCACTTCACGAAGACAATCTCATATTACATTTTTCAGACACTCTAGTCTTCAAGATTTAAAGCAAAGTGATTGCAGTTCACAAGTGTCATAGATAAAAAAATTTAACAAAGTCAAGAGCCATTATTTAAAGGAAAAGAGACCAAAAGACACCAAATGGGGTATGTAGGGGCACTAGATGCCAGATGGAGGAAGCCAGTAAAGTGTCGAGGAAGAAGGAACTTTAAAAGAATGGACTGTCTTGTTGTCGGCGAGACTGTAAATACCAAATCCTTTGCCAACAAAATATATGGAGTTAGGCTTAAGACCGGGGCAGGAGCTAGCCTGGACGCAAAATGCCTCGCTCTTTGAAAGGAATATACACACATCTCCAATGTCCTCTGTGTAGCACATGTATCTTCTTTGTGTTGTCTCTTCCTCTCTGAACACCATGAACCGCCTTATCATGTACTTGAAGTTTTCAGACCAAGGGTAACCCTGTGCGTAACTGCACAAAAAACATATGAGACATTGTGAAACAGTCAATACTTGTGACGGTTAAAAGAGTGATATATACTTACCATTTGACAAGAAAACGCTCGCCGGTGGAGGCATACTCGACCAGGTGTTCCGTCCTGCTACACACCATATCCAGCACCCCCCACTCGGACTCAGCCAGCTCGGGAAGGTCGCGGAACAGAACCTGATGTAACTCAGGGCTTTTTTCCAAGTGGAGATCCCAAGAGTACAACTCGTTGCCTCCAGGAGCAGGCAAGTAGAATCTTTGATCTCTCTTGGAATACATGAGATTAGATGTTTCCAAGTCACCCAAAATCTCATCAGGGAGTACTTGAACGTTAGTCCAACGCAAGTCACGGTGTGGTCGACATAGGCTGAGCTGTTTGCCCAAGAACTTGATAGCAACAACACAGTCTTCATCAGAAGAAGAACAAGACATGGCCACGTTCCAGACGACTCCGGTTTGGTTAGATGGCAAAGCAATAAGATGAGGCAGAGGGATTATCTCTGGGTTTGATTTGGGAGACAAGGGATGGTAAACGTTGCTCATACATACGGAACGCTCAATATTGTTAGAGAAAATCCCCCATCCATGAGAACTCCCGATCTGCCTCGAGTGGACGAGCTCTTGAGGAAAGGTTTTGTCAGGGACAGTAAGCTTCTCTTCCTTGACCGGATCGAAGAAGAGGACATCTCTTATTTCGCTACCATCATTGTCCGGAGAATACGTTTGATGCGTATGGCCCAGCGACAAGTACGGAGTAGTAGTAGTAGTGGCTACGGATGTTGAAAACAAACGAAAGCTCCTCCTCATGTGCGTCTGAAGAGTGATGGATCAAAAACCAATTCAAGTTAATAAACTTTCTTTTTTTTTTCTTTTCAAAACTCAACTTGCCTAGAACAAACCAAAACCTATTGGAATCAAGATGGATCAAACATATTAACAAACTCCAAAACCTACAGGAATCCAACACAAAGTACATTATGAACAAACTCTTCTTTTTCTCATGCCATATATTAACAAAGTACATATTAACAAACAAAACCTAAATGGATCAAACGCCATTTCAAGTTAATAAACTCAATTTTCCTGGCACAAACAAAACCTAGATGGATCAAACACCAATTCAAGTTGGTATACTCAATTTTCCTCGGATAAACAAAACATAGATGGACCAAACACCAATTCAAAGTACATATCAACAAACTCTTCTTTTTTCTCATGCCATTTATTTACGGACAGAACTCAATTTCCGTCAGACAAAACAAAAACATGATGGATCAAACACCAATTCGAGTACGACCCCTTGTTGTTCGAAAATTAACTAAAAAAAGGAGAAAAGAAAATCAAGAGAGGGAAGAGAAGCTTACGAGGACTGGTGAGATTTTGGAGAGTCGGAGTAAAAGGCGAGAAGACATAGTTAAGTTAATTTTGGCTTAATAAGATCCCTTCACAATGACCTACTGCAGTTCTTATTCTTGTTTTTCCTATTTTGCAGAGGCTCTTGGCTCTTGCCATGGAAATATATGAAGCTTTTCTCTTCCATATTTTTTAAATTGATTATCGGTGGACCCACACCATTCACAAAATTTGTACAACTACTTAAATTTAATTTATATCGATTTGAACTAAATCTATTTGATGGATGACATCATTAAAAAATAATAATAAACCGAAGAATGTGTCTTTATATTTTTAAGTTAGTCTAGTCTCTTCTTTTCGGATTAATTGAGATTCAATTAAATCTGATTTGGTTAAAACTGGATATAGCATCCTGAGCTTAATGAAACAGAAAGTTAGTGTGTTGTTTTACAAGGTAGAATGCGAGTCCTTTAGTAAGTATATGAGCTAAGGGAATAAAAATAAGATCCAGAAGAAAGTTTGTTATAGATTATAGATCAAGAAGAAAAGACTAGGGTTGTAACTCCATAGCTCGTTTCGAGTAAGTTCTAGTGTATTTGCTGGTTCAATCCCAGCTCCGGTCAAGTATAGCGGCTTTTCCTCTTCGAGAAAGTGCGGTGAAGACCGAGTCAATAGTTCTCTATTGTCGTTGTAATTATCTTTTGTTATTACTTGTGATTTATGTTGATTGTAGGTCAAATTTCGGAGATAGAATTGTACATAAACAATTTTTTATAGGATCAAAATAAACTATAATCTATCATAAATTAAATCTTAAAAAAATTCCAAAGATTTATATCATAACCAAAAATTTAAGAGCTCTAGTAAAA